AATGCCTGTGTGAGAGTAGAGTCAGCATGCTGTCTCTGTGCTATAGTGCCTGTGTGAGAGTAAGCTCAGCATGATGTCTCAGTGCTATAGTGCCTGTGTGAGAGTAAGCTCAGCATGCCGTCTCAGTGCTATAGTGCCTGTACGGGAGTAGGCTCAGCATGCTGTCTCTGTGCTATAGTGCCTGTGTGAGAGTAAGCTCAGCATGCTGTCTCTGTGCTATAATGCCTGTGTGAGAGTAGATTCAGCATGCTGTCTCTGTGCTATAGTGCCTGTGTGAGAGTAAGCTCAGCATGCTGTCTCTGTGCTATAGTGCCTGTGTGAGAGTAAGCTCAGCATGATGTCTTTGTGCTATAGTGCCTGTGTGAGAATAGACTCAGCATGCTGTCTCTGTGCTATAATGCCTGTGTGAGAGTAAGCTCAGCATGCTGTCTCTGTGCTATAGTGCCTGTGTGAGAGTAAGCTCAGCATGCTGTCTCTGTGCTATAGTGCCTGTGTGAGAGTAGACTCAGCATGCTGTCTCTGTGCTATAGTGCCTGTGTGAGAGTAAGCTCAGCATGCTGTCTTTGTGCTATAGTGCCTGTGTGAGAATAGACTCAGCATGCTGTCTCTGTGCTATAATGCCTGTGTGAGAGTAAGCTCAGCATGCTGTCTCTGTGCTATAATTCCTTTTTCGGGAGTAAGCTCAGCATGTTGTCTCTGTGCTATAGTGCCTGTGTGAGAGTAAGCTCAGCATGTTGTCTCTGTGCTATAATGCCTGTGTGAGAGTAAGCTCAGCATGCTGTCTCTGTGCTATAATGCCTGTGTGAGAGTAGAGTCAGCATGCTGTCTCTGTTCTATAGAGCCTGTGTGAGAGTAAGCTCAGCATGCTGTCTCTGTGCTATAGTGCCTGTGTGAGAGTAAGCTCAGCATGCTCTCTCAGTGCTATAGTGCCTGTGTGAGAGTAAGCTCAGCATGCTGTCTCAGTGCTATAGTGCCTGTACGGGAGTAAGCTCAGCATGTTGTCTCTGTGCTATAGTGCCTGTGTGAGAGTAGATTCAGCATGCTGTCTCTGTGCTATAGTGCCTGTGTGAGAGTAAGCTCAGCATGCTGTCTCTGTGCTATAGTGCCTGTGTGAGAGTAAGCTCAGCATGATGTCTTTGTGCTATAGTGCCTGTGTGAGAATAGACTCAGCATGCTGTCTCTGTGCTATAATGCCTGTGTGAGAGTAAGCTAAGCATGCTGTCTCTCTGCTATAATGCCTGTGTGAGAGTAGAGTCAGCATGCTGTCTCTGTGCTATAGTGCCTGTGTAAGAGTAGCTCAGCATGTTGTTTCTGTGCTATAATGCCTGTGTGAGAGTAAGCTCAGCATGCTGTCTCTGTGCTATAATGCCTGTGTGAGAGTAGAGTCAGCATGCTGTCTCTGTGCTATAGTGCCTGTGTGAGAGTAAGCTCAGCATGATGTCTCAGTGCTATAGTGCCTGTGTGAGAGTAAGCTCAGCATGCCGTCTCAGTGCTATAGTGCCTGTACGGGAGTAGGCTCAGCATGCTGTCTCAGTGCTATAGTGCCTGTGTGAGAGTAAGCTCAGCATGTTGTCTCTGTGCTATAGTGCCTGTGTGAGAGTAAGCTCAGCATGCTGTCTCTGTGCTATAATGCCTGTGTGAGAGTAGATTCAGCATGCTGTCTCTGTGCTATAGTGCCTGTGTGAGAGTAAGCTCAGCATGCTGTCTCTGTGCTATAGTGCCTGTGTGAGAGTAAGCTCAGCATGATGTCTTTGTGCTATAGTGCCTGTGTGAGAATAGACTCAGCATGCTGTCTCTGTGCTATAATGCCTGTGTGAGAGTAAGCTCAGCATGTTGTCTCTGTGCTATAGTGCCTGTGTGAGAGTAGACTCAGCATGCTGTCTCTGTGCTATAGTGCATGTGTGAGAGTAAGCTCAGCATGCTGTCTCTGTGCTATAGTGCCTGTGTGAGAGTAGACTCAGCATGCTGTCTCTGTGTTATAGTGCCTGTGTGAGAGTAAGCTCAGCATGCTGTCTCTGTGCTATAGTGCCTGTGTGAGAGTAAGCTCAGCATGCTGTCTCTGTGCTATAGTGCCTGTACGGAAGTAAGCTCAGCATGTTGTCTCTGTGCTATAGTGCCTGTGTGAGAGTAGACTCAGCATGCTGTCTCTGTGCTATAGTGCCTGTGTGAGAGTAAGCTCAGCATGTTGTCTTACTAAGTTACGTCTTTGTTAAAAATCGCCTCTGATGAATAATTATTCCCTGATAATAGTGATAAAATCAAAAAATAAATCGCAAACTAAAAAGTATGCTCGTATGAATAGATCTTTCTTTTCATTGTTTTCAAACGCATTGTGTTATTTGCTGTGAAGTTCGATCAGCCGAATGTCTATGAAGCCGAAGAAACCAAAACCCCACTTTGATAGCAAGCATCCGAGCTTTGCCGGCAAGGATACCAACTATTTGAAGTAAAGCTGGTGGAATATACAAAATAAAAAAAGCCGGATTGACACTGGTGGCAAGTACCACAAACAAAACGTAGCAGCCGTTGGAGTTTCATATTTGGTGGCACTCAGAATCGCCAGAGCTATGACACCTCAAACAATTGCTGAGGATATACTGTTGCCAGCGGCCAAAGACATTGTTCGCGTTATGTTCGGAGACGAATTTGTTACGAAATTGTGTGCGATTTCCTTATCTATCGACACTGTATACAGAAGAGTAGATGACATGTCTGTTGACTTATCTTGATCAGGTAATCCATGAAATTAAATCCGCTCCACTCCCAAAATTTGGTATCCAGCTTGATGAATCTACAGACGTTGCACACTGTTCACAGTCACCATTTTCTTTTTTGCAAACCTCTTGAAAAAAAAACGGCAATTACTGTATGTGACAGTTGGTTCATTTTTGAAAGATCATAAGATCTCTTGGGGAAAATGTTGTGGTGTTTGCACAAATGGTGCTCCAGCTAGGCTAGGATGTTTATCTGGGTTTCAACGTTCGGTACTGAATGAGTCACACAAAGTCATCGGAACTCACCGTACGATTCACCGGCAAATATTGGCAACGAAGACGCTGCCACAAGAGGTACAAGAAGTCATGAAAAGCGTCAAAAGTTCTGTTAATTGTGTAATGACGAGCACTTTAAACAGTCGACTGTTTTCGCAACTGTGCAACGAGTTGATGCGCCGAACAGTGCTCTGCTATTTCCCACTGAAGGGAGTTGGTTGTCCAAAGGAAACGTTTGAAAACGTGTTTTTGATATTCGTGATCAACTCAAAACGTTTTTTTCAATGAGAAAGCAAGACCGCAGTTCGAAGCACGTTTTAGTGATAAAATTGAACTTCAGAAAAAAGCTTACTTGGTTGACATCTTTGCCATCTTTAATGAGTTAATAAATCATTGCAAGGACCTAATGCAACATGTCTCGATGTTTCTGAAAAGATGCGATAATTCCAAATGAAATTTCAGGTTTGGCACAAAATATAATTGGATGAAAATAAAACGTACACGTTTCCTATCTTATCTGGTGTTTGTTTGTTTGTTTGTTGTTTGGTTTGTTTTGTTGGTTTTTTGTGTGTGTTTTTTTTTTGTTTTTTTTTGTTGTTTTTTTGGGGGGGTGGGGGGTGGGGGGAACATCACATTGAACCAGAAAAATGAATAACGATGATAAATTCTGTGAAGGAACACTTGCATGGGCTTGCAGGCGGAATTTCGTCGTATTTTCCAAATCCACCTGACACCCCATTTGCACTCGCCAGAATCCCATTCACAGTCAAAGTTGAAGATCTTCCTGAGTCAACACAAGAGGGGTTCATTGAACTTATTAGCAGCGATGCAGCGAGCACTGATTTCTCTACAATGCCAGTGACAAAATGCTGGATCAAGTGTTTGCAGCCATATCCCTGTTCTGTCTGAGACTGTTTTGTACCCTCTTCATCCATTTCCAACAACATAACTTTGTGAAACAGGGTTTTCCAGCTTGTTGGTTGGTAATCAAATCTAAATGTAGACTTGTTGTGGAAGATCATCTTCGTTGTGCTCTTGCAAAGACTGCCTGTCCCGAGCATTTCTGATCTGGTTAAGAAAGAAGCAATCGCAACCTTCGCGCTGACGTTGACTTTGTACGCGTACTGTCTCAAAATGTAGCAATCTAGTTTACTGTTGTTATATTAAGACTGTTACCCGTGCTACACCATGCTTCAAGACAAAATCTCATTTATTTGTAATTAGAAATAAATATTTCACAATATATAATTCCCTATTGTTTTTTGGTCTTTTTTTTTGTTTGTTTTTTTGTAATGAATCACTATGCTTTAATTATGTTCCATTTGTAACAATGAAAATACATCCTGCCTAACAGATATTTACGTTACGATTCATAACAGAAGCAAAATTACAGCTATGAAGTAGCAACGAAAATAATTTTATGGTTGAGGGTCGCATCAACATGAGGAAATGTATAAGGGGTCGCGGCACTAGAAAGGTTGAGAACCACTGATATAGGAGATGAAGTGTTTGGCTGGTGAGGTGAGGTTTTTTTTTGCATGTATAAATTGTGTTCTACTGTAGGGTGTCATGTCAACTTATACAACAACTGTTTGTTACTCGAATGTTTCATGGAATGGTTGGTCCAACCTGCAGGGGGTGGTGTATTGAACTAGGCGTGGGGGCGTGAGCCACACCGGTTGTCATTTCTCCCTTATGAAAAGGGCAGAATGGGAGCAGTATAAATCTAGCCAGGACCCCAGGCGGCACTAACCCCAGGTACGCCACTGACTCGTGTGACTGAAATGCAGCGTCCACCTGAGCCAGCTGGTGCAGGTGTGATTTGTCTTCTCATTGTTTGACTGACACTCCCCAAATAATGTGAGTCCATTACAAACAACTTACTTGGAGACATCAAAATAAAGCCTCGAGCCATCTGGTCGACTTCAAAGAGAGCAAGCCAAGATGAAACCAATGAAGACAGCCCAGCACTGGATATGAGGCAGACTTGAGGAATTTGGCTCTGCTGTGCTCTCAGTAACCACCATGTTAGTGGACATATCAACTGGAAGATGATAAAGATACCCAGTAAGAACTTTATGGATAGGATAATTATTTATTTTTTTTATTTGTGGGTGTGGGAATCAAGAGCTATTTTTGGGCTGCTTCTTCATTAAAGAGCACAAAAGAGAAGTATTTAGCAGTAGCATCTTTGCTAACTTGAACCATCAATGTCTGGGATATTTGAACTATTTTAAGGTAATATTTTTAAAACTATTATATCGTTCTTTTCTCCATGTGTGTCATAAATCATGTTCTATTAAAGAAGTCTGGTTTCATGTTTGTTATTGACTTACCTTGCAATCCGTGCCATAAATCATGTTCTATTAGAGAAGTCTGGTTTCATGTTTGCTATTGACTTACCTTGCAATCCGTGACATAAATCATGTTCTATTAGAGAAGTCTGGTTTCATGTTTGTTATTGACTTACCTTGCAATCCGTGCCATAAATCATGTTCTATTAGAGAAGTCTGGTTTCATGTTTGCTATTGACTTACCTTGCAATCCGTGCCATAAATCATGTTCTATTAAAGAAGTCTGGTTTCATGTTTGCTATTGACTTACCTTGCAATTCGTGCCATAAATCATGTTCTATTAGAGAAATCTTGTTTCATATTTGTTATTGACTTACCTTTCAATCCAAACTTAGAAGTCGTCCTGCCTGGTCTCCTGCATCCACCTTTCTCAGTGAAGGAGAGAGTGACCTCTGACCCGTCGTGCGCTTCACGGGCGATGAAAAGAGCATGCACACAAGGTGCGTTGGGTCGGTTCATTGTGACGTTTCCGCCCAGGTCAACGCACAGGGATCCCTTCACGAGATTGTAGACGCAGTACTCCAGGTCATAGTATATCCCCAACATGAGTGTGTAGGATGTGACGTTCAGAGATATGTCCTCATCATTCACCGTAAGTTTTTCATCTTCCACATCTGATGATTTGATGGAGGAAATGGGGAAGGGGGTGAATATTTAGATCAGAGGTCCTCAAAGGCTTTTTTCACTGATGGGGTCCTGACTGTAGGTTCAAATACTATAAACGAATTCCTCAGGATACTACAAGGAACGTATTTTTGCAAAGTAAAACCCATGAAAAAAAAAGAATTTCATTCGGAAGCATAATTTGAACCAAATTAGATTATTTCAATATGATGTATTCTAAAACTTTTGGCCCATGACATGGCCATTGATCGGCCTCAATTTGTGGCACGCTAACCGCGTTACGTACTGCGACCAAGCGGGCCTGATCTTACCCGTGGGCCGTCCTTTCAGGAACCTTAATTAGATCATTAAATTATTTTTTTACAAATCTGATTAAGCAGTTATCGATTTGTTTTTTCTGAACTGGCTGACCAGTTTGCTAACCCCTTTGCTTTCAATGAGGGTATTGGCCCTTGATTCATGACCTACATCAGTGGGAAATGTGACAAACGAACAGCTGACTGTTGAAATGGGGATTTAGGTTGTTGGGGTTTTCAACAGATTTTTGTCTTATTAATTTGTGGAACTAGAAGAAATCTTGCACTGACTTAGGAACAATGGACATGGGGAAGTCAGTCAGCTCGTCACTTTTTATAGAATGGGGGCATTCACTGACTTTAGGGGCCATGTTTCTTTCAGGCAGCTCTCCGGGAGGAGGGGGGGGCGCCCCAAGAGAATGTCAAGTGTGCCCGGGGGGGAAATGTGTACAACGATAAAATAAAATATTTTTTACACAAAAAAAACAACTAAATTGTAATTTTATAAACACTTTAAAATGAATCAAATGTATGCTCGACACATTTGATGTTCCGAGTCTTTAAGACCAATTTTTTTGTAGGTTTACACAATTCGATTATAAATATCATACTTTCGTTAATTGGTCGCACCAGACTATACATCTGAAGCTTAGATCCAGTAGTTCGCATATATCGGTAGTTTGATGCATTTCTTTTTGGCAACGTCACATCACTATAAAGGTCTATAATTTTAATGTAGTTCTTGCTAAGTATCAAACATGTACCGGTACAAGCTTCAAACTTAGCGTAGGATTATTGACTTCCAAGCTGCTTTTCTCTTTTTGATATCAGAATAGAAATAATAAACTATTCTCCTCGTCTATTTGCACGCATTTTTTTACATTTACTATTTAGGTGAAAATACACCAGAAAGCTTATATATATATATATATGACCTGGCGCCGTCCTATCTGAAAGAGCTGCTGACGCCTTATGTACCCACTAGAGAGCTCCGCTCATCCGATAGTGGCAAACTCTCGACATCACGTGTTTGCCTTGAGACTTACGGAAAGCGCACTTTCGCATTTGCTGGTCCAACAATTTGGAACGCCCTTCCTGTCGATCTCAGAAACAACCAGTCACTGGAGTCCTTTAAAACCGATCTAAAGACACATCTATTTCGCAAATACCTTCTGGGATTATGTGTGCAGTGCTTTTTCGTGATGCTCATCTTTTTTGTAAGTTTTTAAACATAATTGTGATTAAGTAGTTTACCCTTAAAATAGTTTTAATAAAAATATCAAATCACAGTGTTATTTTAGTTAGTTATATTATATATTGCATAACTAGGTCAAGTAGAGCCGTCGCTTGACATTTAGAAAACCTCTGCCCCTTTCCTGTTGTGTCCTTCCACCCCCTTACATTCACATTTGATCATTTAAAAAGTGTCCGGAACGCAACTTTCAGCCCCTAAAATACTCGAGGCCCCTTGCAGCCACAAGGGTTGCAGGGCCCACACAATGGCTCTTGGGGAAAGTGAGATCTAAATTTTTTACCCTAGCATGTCTCCCGTTGCTCTCCGATTAAGTGTAAGATGATGCAAAGCTAAATTTTTATATATGCTAAAATCCATTCTTGCATTTTAAATTTATCAAAATTTTTCTGGGGACTAAAAAGATTGAAGGGTGACACTATATTATAAGCTAGGGCAAAAAGTATACCCTCAAGGGTATTAGGTGGAATGAGTTTAGTTCATGTCAGGCTGGGGCGGGTTATAGCGCTTCCCAAAGAACGTTCCCAATGACCCCTTCCAAATTGTCGGACAGAAACACCAACTGAAATGTTGCATCAAACTGCATCCCTGAATTAATCAACACACAAAATAAATGGGCACTTCTGTGCCCACTTTTGCTTGAGAGCATTCGGCACCATCGATTTCTGTTCCCCCATTCCTCACGCCAATCAAAATGACAGTACGGGATTGAATCTAGAGTTGTGTTAAATGATTACCATGCGGCGCGTCACAACCGGAGTGAATAAAGTTTATGTATGGTACCGGACACAATAGTGCCTCCCCCCGGACGCTTGAACAATTCCATCCCCGGATAAAACAGTCGTATAGGAAAAAGAACCATTGAATTCTGTAAAATCAAAAATTCCCTGCTTGATTTTGAAATAAGCAATTTCTGGGGATTTGATCCCCAGACCCATCCTCACTTTTTCAAAGGAGAGTAATCGGCACCCTCAATTTCTGCCCTATTTCTCGATAAAAACGACAATATAGCAGACCCTTCTTCCGCTCAAAAGCTATCGGTGCCCTCAATGTTTGCCCTAATTCCCGATAAATAATATCACCAATTTTGTTGCCGATAGATGCACTGCATAGGTTTTGTCGCCTTCTCTTCAACGCTAAACTCTGGAGTTGTCCGAGAATGAAACACGTCCATTTAAAGAAAACGTGAGATTTGGATGGATAACCGATACGCACCCCTTTCTAAAGCTAGAGTTTTGGGCGCCAGGGGACAAGGTTCATTCATCTGTCTGGCAAACTTATTGTTCGTGGTCGGGGTGAAAGAAAACTTTGCCCGACTCAGAGGGCACTAAGGCACTAACCACCATACGCTACATCACTGGTTAACCCCCCCCCCCGGGGCACTAAACCATAACCACCAAATGCTACTCACAGGTTACCTCCTCGGGGGCACTAAGCCATAACCACCAAATGCTACTCACAGGTTACCTCCTCGGGGGCACTAAGCCATAACCACCAAATGCTACTCACAGGTTACCTCCTCGGGGGCACTAAGCCATAACCACCAAATGCTACTCACAGGTTACCTCCTCGGGGGCACTAAGCCATAACCACCAAATGCTACTCACAGGTTACCTCCTCGGGGGCACTAAGCCATAACCACCAAATGCTACTCACAGGTTACCTCCTCGGGGGCACTAAGCCATAACCACCAAATGCTACTCACAGGTTACCTCCTCGGGGGCACTAAGCCATAACCACCAAATGCTACTCACAGGTTACCTCCTCGGGGGCACTAAGCCATAACCACCAAATGCTACTCACAGGTTACCTCCTCGGGGGCACTAAGCCATAACCACCAAATGCTACTCACAGGTTACCTCCTCGGGGGCACTAAGCCATAACCACCAAATGCTACTCACAGGTTACCTCCTCGGGGGCACTAAGCCATAACCACCAAATGCTACTCACAGGTTACCTCCTCGGGGGCACTAAGCCATAACCACCAAATGCTACTCACAGGTTACCTCCTCGGGGGCACTAAGCCATAACCACCAAATGCTACTCACAGGTTACCTCCTCGGGGGCACTAAGCCATAACCACCAAATGCTACTCACAGGTTACCTCCTCGGGGGCACTAAGCCATAACCACCAAATGCTACTCACAGGTTACCTCCTCGGGGGCACTAAGCCATAACCACCAAATGCTACTCACAGGTTACCTCCTCGGGGGCACTAAGCCATAACCACCAAATGCTACTCACAGGTTACCTCCTCGGGGGCACTAAGCCATAACCACCAAATGCTTCTCACAGGTTACCTCCTCGGGGGCACTAAGCCATAACCACCAAATGCTACTCACAGGTTACCTCCTCGGGGGCACTAAGCCATAACCACCAAATGCTTCTCACAGGTTACCTCCTCGGGGGCACTAAGCCATAACCACCAAATGCTACATCACCGGTTACCTCCTCGGGGGCACTAAGCCATAACCACCGAATGCTACATCACCGTTACGCATACGATTAGGAAAGTAGAACTAATATCCGACACCCAGAGCCGTAGATCGAAATTTGGGGGTCCCCACTTCAACTTTAAATTTCTTTCGCCACCGTCATACATTTGTTTACCACATCACAGCAATTTTGTGACGTAATATATTTGTTTACGACATCACAGCCATTGTGTAGTGATGTCATACATGTGTTTACCACATCACAGCCATTGTGTAGTGATGTCATACATGTGTTTACCACATCACAGCCATTGTGTAGTGATGTCATACATTTGTTTACCACATCACGGACATTGTGTGATGTCATACATTTGTTTACCACATCACAGCCGTTGTGTGACGTCATACATGTGTTTACCACATCATAGCCATTTTGTGATGTCATACATGTGTTTACCACATCACAGCCATTGTGTAGTGTTGTCATACATTTGTTTACCACATCACAGCCATTGTGTAGTGATGTCATACATTTGTTTACCACTTCACAGCCATTGAGTGACGTCATACATGTGTTACCACATCACAGCCATTGTGTAGTGATGTCATACATTTGTTTAAGACATCACAGCAATTGTGGGACGTCATTCATTTGTTTACAACATCACAGCCATTGTGTGATGTCATACATTTGTTTACCACATCACGGCCATTATGTGATGTCATACATTTATTTACCACATCACGGCCATTGTGTGACGTCATACATTGGTTAACCACTTTACAGCCATTTTGTAGTGATGTCATTCATTTGTTTACCACATCACGGCCATTGTGTGAAGTCATACATGTGTTAACCACATCACAGCCATTGTGTAGGGATGTCATACATTTGTTTGCCACATCAAAGCCATTGTGTGACGTCATACATTTGTTTACCACATCACAGCCATTGTGTGACGTCATGCATTTGTTAACCACATCACAGCCATGGTGTAGGGATGTCATATATTTGTTTACCACATCACAGCCATTGTGTGACGTCATACATTTGTTTACCACATCACAGCCATTGTGTAGTGATGTCATTCATTTGTTTACCACATCACAGCCATTGTGTAGAGATGTCATACATTTGTTTACCACATCACTGCCATTGTGTGACATCATATATTTGTTTACCACATCACAGCCATTTTGTGACGTCATATATTTGTTTACGAAATCACAGCCATTGTGTGACGACATACATTTGTTTACCACATCACAGCCATTGTGTAGTGATGTCATACATTTGTTTACCACATCACAGCCATTGTGTGATGTCATACATTTGTTAATCACATCACAGCCATTGTGTAGTGATGTCATTCATGTGTTTACCACATCACAGCCATTGTGTAGTGATGTAATTCATGTGTTTACCACATCAAAGCCATGTGTAGTGATGTCATTCATGTATTTACCACATCACAGCCATTGTGTAGTGATGTCATTCATGTGTTTACCACATCACAGCCATTGTATAGTGATGTCATTCATGTGTTTACCACATCACAGCCATTGTGTAGTGATGTCATTCATGTGTTTACCACATCACGGCCATTGTGTAGTGATGTCATTCATGTGTTTACCACATCACGGCCATTGTGTAGTGATGTTACACATTTTTACCACATCACGGCCATTGTGTAGTGATGTCACACATTTGTTTACCACATCACGGCCATTGTGTAGTGATGTCACACATTTATTTACCACATCACGGCCATTGTGTAGTGATGTCACACATGTGTTTACCACATCACGGCCATTGTGTAGTGATGTCACACATTTGTTTACCACATCACGGCCATTGTGTAGTGATGTCACACATTTGTTTACCACATCACGGCCATTGTGTAGTGATGTCACACATTTGTTTACCACATCACGGCCATTGTGTAGTGATGTCACACATTTGTTTACCACATCACGGCCATTGTGTAGTGATGTCACACATTTGTTTACCACATCACGGCCATTGTGTAGTGATGTCATACATTTGTTTACCACATCACAGCAATTTTGGGACGTCATTCATTTGTTTACCACATCATGGCCATTGTGTGATGTCATACATTTGTTTACCACATCACGGCCATTGTGTAGTGATGTCACACATTTGTTTACCACATCACGGCCATTGTGTAGCGATGTCATACATGTGTTTACCACATCACGGCCATTGTGTAGGGATGTCATTCATGTGTTTACCACATCACGGCCATTGTGTAGTGATGTCATTCATGTGTTTACCACATCACGGCCATTGTGGAGTGATGTCATACATGTGTTTATCACATCACGGCCATTGTGTAGTGATGTCATTCATGTGTTTACCACATCACGGCCATTGTGGAGTGATGTCATACATGTGTTAACACATCACGGCCATTGTGTAGTGATGTCATACATGTGTTTACCACATCACGGCCATTGTGGATTGATGTCATACATGTGTTTACCACATCACGGCCATTGTGTAGTGATGTCACACATTTGTTTACCACATCACGGCCATTGTGGAGTGATGTCACACATGTGTTTACCACATCACGGCCATTGTGGAGTGATGTCATACATGTGTTTACCACATCACGGCCATTGTGGAGTGATGTCATACATGTGTTTACCACATCACGGCCATTGTGGAGTGATGTCATACATGTGTTTACCACATCACGGCCATTGTGTAGTGATGTCATACATGTGTTTACCACATCACGGCCATTGTGGAGTGATTGCAGGGCTCACACGGCGGTTCACCTTTCACCGTTGGTCAAATTAAACACTTTCTCACACACACACCACTAGTCAACGACCACTCACCAAACACCATTGGAAACCTCTCGTAGCGTTTGTAGAAGTACCGGTCTCTGTACTGAAAATCGAACGCATTCCTTTTCACCGAGACCTCAAATACAGCACAGTTCAGTGTCTGCATACCTTGGACCGTTTCGTCCACGACGTGACGCAGGTAAAACGTAGTGTTCTCTTGCTTGTAGCAGCCACGTGGGGATTTGGGTTGGCAAGAATCTGTTGGAGCCCACCTGTATTGCTGTGGAAAGTTCAAGAACTGATGACGTCTCAAACCTGTTTAGCCGTTTAACGAATTTGTTGGGTTTTTAAAAATAATTCATAAGAGGGCCGGGCTGCTATAAAGCTGAAGTATTTGTGAGACACTAACAATGTGTGTCAGTAAAACGTATCTTTAGCCTTTAATGAAATGAAGTAAATAAAATGAAGTTTCGGGTATACGAAACCGTCTGTAAAAAAAGTATATTTAAGGTTTAGACAATGTATATCCCAGCTATTGAATGACAAAGAGAAGAGCAAAGGGACCATCCATATTTTACGTGTGAACTAAGTGGGGAAAGTGGAAGTTCATTTTGGAGATGTCCGTAAGGATGCGTCTTATGTCAGTGTTAAAGAATGTCTGGCAAGGAAGTACGGACAGTTACGCAAATTTTCTGCAATAACTGTCCAGAAATTCTGTCAGTCTCTAGTATCTCTAATAAAGCCAGCTGTCATCTAAAACCATTGAAATACATCATTTCTCATTAGTATTTCTTAAATGCTATAGAAATAACACCAATATCTTTCGTTATTAACATCATAATGTTGTTATATGTTTCTACAAATAACTCCTTAGATATGGTAGCATGACTGTTAAGCCTAGAGACTTACTCTAGTCAACAGTGATTGTTATGTCATTTGTAAGATAATACTTTTTTTTTGCTAATCTAAAAGCTGCACTAGCTTTGGGAGGGGGGGGGAGCGACCATGATACAAGAATAATAAGCCCATTTTTTATGTGTACAGCAGTGTGCCCCCCCCCCCTTTCAATCCCCACCACAATTAGTGGAAATGCATAATAAATATGACGACTATATGATATACTGTAAAGATTGAATTTTTAAAAAAAATTTTTGGAATAAAGATAAAGTTATAATGAGCGAAATGAATTTGAATGGCCAAACTCCAGATCAAACAATGGTGAACTTTTCTATTGGAAGCCTGCTGTAAAATTAGGACTCCAGGCAGTGATCAGGTCCAATCAGTGGCAAGACTCCAACACTCGGTCTGCAAGGTAAAACTAGTCTAGTACTAAGATGGCAATGTTAACACTAGACTTCAACACTAGGATATGACCATGTTACCACTAGGCTTCAACACTAGGATATGACCATGTTACCACTAGACTTCAACACTAGGATATGACCATGTTAACACTAGACTCCAACACTATGATGGCCATGTTAACACTAGACTCCAACACTAGGATGGCCATGTTAACAATAGGCTTCAACACAAGGATATGACCATGTTAACACTAGTCTCCAACACTAGGATGGCCATGTTAACACTAGACTCCGACACTAGGATGGCCATGTTAACACTAGACTCCAACACTAGGATGGCCATGTTAACAATAGGCTTCAACACTAGGATGGCCATGTTAACAATAGGCTTCAACACTAGGATATGACCATGTTAAAACTAGACTCCAACACTAGGATGACCATGTTAACACTAGATTCCAACACTAGGATGGCCATGTTAACAATAGGCTTCAACACTAGGATGGCCATGTTAACAATAGGCTTCAACACTAGGATATGACCATGCTAACACTAGACTCCAACACCAGGATGGCCATGTTAACACTAGACTCCAACACTAGGATGGCCATGTTAACACTAGACTTCAACACTAGGATATGACCATGTTAACACTAGACTCCAACACTAGGATGGCCATGTTAACACTAGACTCCATCACAAGGATATGACCATGCTAACACTAGACTCTAACACAAGGATATTACCATGCTAACACTAGACTCTAACACAAGGATATGACCATGCTAACACTAGACTCTAACACAAGGATATGACCATGTTAACACTAGACTCCAACACTAGGATGGCCATGTTAACACTAGAGTCCATCACAAGGATATGACCATGCTAACACTAGACTCTAACACAAGGATATGACCATGCTAACACTAGACTCTAACACAAGGATATGACCATGTTAACACTAGACTCTAACACAAGGATATGACCATGTTAACACTAGACTCCAACACCAGGATGGTCGTGTTAACACTAGACTCTAACACAAGGATATGACCATGTTAACACTAGACTTCAACACCAGGATGGCCGTGTTAACACTAGACTCCAACACCAGGATGGCCGTGTTAACACTAGACTCCAACACCAGGATGGCCGTGTTAACACTAGACTCCAACACCAGGATGGCCGTGTTAACACTATACTCTCACACAAGGATATGACCATGTTAACACTAGACTCGTACACCAGGATGGCCGTGTTAACACTAGACTCCAACACCAGGATGGCCGTGTTAACACTAGACTCTAACACAAGGATATGACCATGTTAACACTAGACTCGTACACCAGGATGGCCGTGTTAACACTAGACTCGTACACCAGGATGGTCGTGTTAACACTAGACTCGTACACCAGGATGGCCGTGTTAGCACTAGACTCCAACACCAGGATGGCCGTGTTAACACTAGACTCGTACACCAGGATGGCCGTGTTAACACTAGACTCGTACACCAGGATGGCCGTGTTAACACTAGACTCCAACACTAGGATGGTCGTGTTAACACTAGACTCGTACACCAGGATGGCCGTGTTAACACTAGACTCCAACACTAGGATGGTCGTGTTAACACTAGACTCCATCACAAGGATATGACCATGCTAACACTAGACTCCAACACAAGGATATGACCATGTTAACACTAGACTCGTACACCACGATGGCCGTGTTAGCACTATACACATTTGGGAAGCGCTGAGAAGATCCTCAGTGGAATTGTCGTCACAGGAAACTTCCAAAGTTCTCTATTCATACTAAGTTCTTGCAATATCATTGTCCTCGTGAGTATCGGTATTAATTGCATTACGTTTGACAAAATTGCGTAAATTTACGGGCAGTTATGAGAATTTTGACCGAAAATAACCATTCCGGTTGAGAATGTCATTCAATAAACTAACACAATAATATTGCCTCATGGTCGAATCATATACTCATGAAGACATGATATTCACATCTATAGTTGGAGCTTTTATAATAAAACATTAGCTGCATAACTTCAAAACAAATGCATTTTACTAAAATGTGCCGCCCCCCCCCCCCAACTCCCAAAAATTATTGTTCGTAACAACTATGAAAATTTAGGATATTATTCCAATAAATTTATGGGTTTTTTTTTTTTGGTTTTTTACAATCAGCCCTTGGGGAATACTTACGCATGGATCAGTAGGTTTGGTTTGATTTCTCGGAGTGATCCTCCAACACGGGTGGATGTCGTTCCCGAGAAATCCGCAGGCAGGTTTGTCATACGTGATTTCTAAAACAACTCCGTCTTCACTCAGTAGCATCGCGTTGTCTCCATTGCACGTGGTGTTGTAAAATTTCTCCACGTTCAGACAGCCACGGACACACGCGGCCAGTGAAACCAGCTCGAAGGCTGTGCCGAGCAGTTTCATCACGATGGCGGCCATTTTTCACCCGGATAATCATACTGTACAATGTTTGACATAATTTGTTTACTAAGAAATCAATTTTGAACGGAGAGTTTTTCATTTGTTGAATGTATATTACGTTCCCATTGCGTCATAGCATTTCATTGAGTTAGCTCCCTTAAACTTCCATTTGCTGATTTTAATAATTTTTATTATTTATATTTCTTTTCAATTCTTAAAAGCAATTGTGCTTATTAACATTGATATTATTCTTTAAGTTAATTGTTCTCATAAACATAATCAATGACTAGGATGTTTAGATATTATCTTAGAGATTATTATTTTTTTTTTGAGAAATATAAAAGTCATCAATACTTTCTCTACTTATACCAACATGCTTAGCTCTACTCAATGCCACCAAAACGTTTGTAAATGAAAGGTCCGTTTGTTAAAAATAATTCGTTACCTTATCAAAAGTTGTTGTTTTTTTTAATTTACAGATACAAATAAATGTACGTTAAAACCACTTCAAGTGACAGACTGTATCTAATAATATTGCCTGCCACTACAACTACAGTGACTTATTTAATTTTCATAAGAAATAATGTGTGTGTTTGTTTGTGTATATATATATATTTATATATATATATGTATATATNTTTCGCACAGACAGCCACATTACTGAAGGGTTCAGCAAGGAGTGACCGATGGTGACGTCTGATATCTTTGACTCACTAGTTTGAAGAGCGTGCTCTCAAGACTTTGTGATCTTATATTCATTGTTTGTTGTGCAATATCTGACACATGTATTTTCTGAAGTTTAATTCTCCATTGCGACTCAACACAAATTCTGGTACCACCTCATGAGGCATAGTAAGGAACATGTGTTTGTATGTTATGTGTGCGTGCGAGTGTGTGTGTGGGTGTGTGTGTGTGTGTATATTATATTTTTATATATATATATATATATATATATTAATATATATATATATATTAATATATATGTATGTATATATAGATATTGAATATGTATACGTCAATATGATAGGTAAATGGAGAGTGCGTCTTGAAGTCTGTGTTTAAGTTCAGAGAAAAAGAAAACCCTTGTAATATTGATAATTCTACTGGTGTATATTTATAAATGTTTTAAATGTCAAAACTCATTTTAATTCTAACATAATGAACATTTTTGTTCAACTATAGTTTGTGATCAAAGTGTCCACCATTGGCTTCAACGCAGACCCCAAGATGCGATCTCCATTGACCTATCATTATCTAAAGTCTAAAGTTTTCCCAGTTTTCAGGCCACACAAAAAAATCAAACTAATTTTTGATGAAATTAAATTGATCCATTGTGTCTAGCAGAACTGTTAAAGCAAACCTATTTTAGGAGATAAGAGAAACAAATACAGGATGTGTTTAAGTATATTATTTAATTTTAATCTTGTGTAAACTTGTTTTAAACTTCCTAAATTAGGGATTCTAAACTAGGTGTGTCCCTGGGGAACGAAAGGCAATGCAAGCGTACAAGTCCGGTACAAAAGGAC